TGCAAATACAGAAAACGTGCCCAATAAATAAAAAAAAATGTGATTAGTATTGCCACAATGCAACCCTGCTACGAGGTTGCAAAATGTAGACGCGCAAAAAACATACCTTTGAGTGTGACAAAATGTAAACGGCGTCGTTTTCCAATTTTGTATGGGAAACAACAACACCACCGATTTTACGGTTAGAAAACGTCTTAAAATGTAGACGTCTACATTTTGAGACACTATTTGGAACGAACTGTGAACACCCCAATTGTATTCATACGTTTTGGAAGTCAGCCACACTCGAACTGTGAGCAACCCTTATGTTTAAATAAAGTATTAAGGCTCTGTTATGCATACTTGGCATTGCATGCACTGCTATACCATTTTTACGTAGAAATCAAAAACCAACAGACTTCTACGTATGTAGTGCTGTGCGTTCGATAACCGATTACACGCGAGGCTCATTTAACAGATTTCTTATGTGACAGCTCTCAAGCCATGCCAAGTATGCATAACGAAGCCTTTAAGTTGATCAACAATACCACGCATTGCTATACCGTTTGCCTTTCACGCGTTTGTGTTTAGAGAGCATCAACAAACCACATACATATTTCTCTCTATTCTCTCTTCTCTTTTTTATACTCAGCTAGCACAGCGCAAAAATAAAAATAAAAATAACCTTTGCCAGCATGAACGAAAGACACAAGATCACGCGGGACGGAAAGAACGAAAAAAGTTATTTTCTAGCTGCCGAAATCTCGACGCCATCTTTGCTGTAAGAAGTAAACAACAAAGAGAACGGAGAAAACCGCGAAATTTGTTGAACGCATGAAAAATCATTTTTATTATGCAAATTCTTCTAAAAATCATGCCGTTGTGTTAAATTATTCTTTATCTTATGTGTACACACGTTGTCACAAGCGAAAATGAAGAAAATTGCAGTAAAAAGCCACCACCAAATTGTAAACAACGAAGAAATGTAAATAAACGGCTAATGTCAAAATCGTTCAACTTTTTTCCTTAATGCGATTCTAACGGGCTACTCTCCTTCCCGCGTGATCTTGTCTTTTTGGTTCATGCAATTACCAGTATCTCACTAGAGCAAATTATGTATACATTTTTTACTATGGGAATATATCGACAGCTGAGTGGAAGATCGACCTATCACAGGAGCCAGTTCGAAAACGTTCTATCTCAGAAAACTTTTCAAGAGTTATGAGTTTCAGAATTTGAAAAACTCCCTATCTCAGAACTCGGTTCGAAAACACACTATCTCGCTGCCGATTGAGAAACGCCCCATTTCCATGAACCATGTCGTTCGTTCATGCCCCATTTCAGCACATTTTCAGTTCAGATGGGGCGTTTTTGAACTGGCTGCCGATAGGTCGATTGTTGTTGTTATTGTTGTAGCGGCTCCAACAAGATAGCTCGATCTTCCACTCAGGTGTCGATATGTAAATTCAAAAGTTTAAAGCAGCTTTTCTCAATTGAGTTATGAAATAAATGAGCGACATGGTTCAGTTTGTAGAGTAAGATTCAATCAAAATCCCGAAAAATATACAAAGTGGAATTATTTCGTTTTGTTAAAAACTCCTCAGCTATAGTACATAAAATGTATGTATGTAAATATATAAATACTTATTGCTAATGAAAATAGTTCTGCCTTACTCAATAGACTTTTCAATCCACTGATCAACACGATTCTTTAACCTAGGATCAGTCGTTAATTCTTCCCGCTTTCCATTTCCACCCTTACGGACAAAGCCTGCTTCACCTTTTAGCAATACTCCGACGTCAGCCATTTCACTGCCATTAACAGCCGGATTTTCCCGGAAATTCCTGATATCCAAATGTTCTGTAAGATCTTTCAAGCCAACCGTGCCGATCGTACTATTTAAAAACGCTGCTACTTTCCTAATAACTCCACTTAAGTCTGATATCATTTCTTCATAGTTAAGTATAAGTAAGTTGGAAAGGTGGATGTGGGCATACGCTTCCTTGATATNTTTAAAGCAGTTTTTCTCAATTGAGTTATGAAATAAATGAGCGACATGGTTCAGTTTGTAGAGTAAGATTCAATCAAAATCCCGAAAAATATACAAAGTGGAATTATTTCGTTTTGTTAAAAACTCCTCAGCTATAGTACATAAAATGTATGTATGTAAATATACAAATACTTATTGCTAATGAAAATAGTTCTGCCTTACTCAATCGACTTTTCAATCCACTGATCAACACGATTCTTTAACCTAAGATCAGTCGTTAATTCTTCCCGCTTTCCATTTCCACCCTTACGGACAAAGCCTGCTTCACCTTTTAGCAATACTCCGACGTCAGCCATTTCACTGCCATTAACAGCCGGATTTTCCCGGAAATTCCTGATATCCAAATGTTCTGTAAGATCTTTCAAGCCAACCGTGCCGATCGTACTATTTAAAAACGCTGCTACTTTCCTAATAACTCCACTTAAGTCTGATATCATTTCTTCATAGTTAAGTATAAGTAAGTTGGAAAGGTGGATGTGGGCATACGCTTCCTTGATATGGCTACAGTAAGGCATCCAGGGATCTACACTTGCGAACTAGGTAAATAACGTTGAGAAATAGCACATAAAAGAAACTTACTTAAACCACGGGAAAAATAATCCCAATATCGTGTAAAATCACCGATATAGCCTTGCGTGCGATATAAACGATTTAGATGGTAATAGGAAACTGCTACATCTTTGGGGTTGCGTGCTACATAAATAATCTAAAATAATATTATTTTTTAATAGCCTTTTGTNACGATTTAGATGGTAATAGGAAACTGCTACATCTTTGGGGTTGCGTGCTACATAAATAATCTAAAAGAATATTATTTTTTAATAGCCTTTTGTTGTATTGCTGTTGTTAGTATTTGATTTAGAAGTACCTTGCACTTTTCCTTTAGAACACTTGGCGGCAACAAAGAAAATGGGAAATGTGTTTTAATAAAGCGTCTCTTATTTAACGGCCATGAATTTAAAGTTTTGTATCCTGGGGCGGAAAAATATTCGATGAAGTCTTGTTTGCCATTGTCATTAGCATTTTCAGACAGCAACTCCGCTTTGATTTCAGGATGCACGAACAGGGAAAATCTACATACATATGTAACATAATTCATATACATATGTAATATTGTATTTAATATTTAAATTTTAAATCTAAATCTAATTATAAGAATGTTAAATAAATAAATACGCATATACAATGTATGCGAGTATTTTCACTTACTCGAAAAATGGAAACCTTTCGGTGAGCGGCTGTGTTTTAGCTGTTTTAAAGTCCAAATTATTTGCAACGAGCCAAACTAACTCTTGTGTCCATGTAGTGCCCGATCGTGGAAACGATGCTACCCAAATATCATCCGGACGTGCTTGAAAATTATAAAAATTCTCCGCCTCCAATTTGTACTTATGAGGGAAGAAATACTTTTCTGGACCCACCTGCACAAAACCTGTGCGCTCGCCTGTAGTGAAATAATTTGAATTTTTTACTCGTGAAGTAGAATTACTTATGAAGTGAGTATACCTTTAAAATAACTGAGCAGCTCAGCATTTAACTGAGGCTCAAGTTCGGTGATTTCAAATGGAAAGTTGTACATGTTTTTAGCGGTCGAACTTTACCGATGCGATGTTAGCATTGAACTAAAAACCAAACTAAATAATTACGCTGTGAGACGCATTATTTTACATTCGAAGTGAAAGTTTGCTTAGTGTGCATATTTACATAAATAAAATGTAATTAAAAATTTGTTCAGTGTTACATTTGTTGCGCTTAATTGCCGCCACTTTTTATGTATGTATTTTATTAACTACATACGTTGTTTTTGTTGCCCGTGTAATTGCTAGTGCAGCAACTGGTTTTATTTCCGTAGTTGAAATACTTGGAACTATATTTTACTTAGATGCAGTAAAGCTTTTTTTAATTACATACGCGCATACGATTATTTCACTATCTGCATACACCCTTGTTTAGCAATTATAATATTTTTTTTTTTTACAAATATATGGTTTATGCTACAAACAAAACCATATAAATCAAAGTTTCAAACTGTGTACCCGATTAATGAACATTTAACGAATTTTCATCAAAATTTTAACTTTTTACTCAGACAATAATATACAAATTCGAAGTGGCTAAGAAATCGTGTTGATTTTTAACCGACTTCAAAAAAAAGGAGAAGGTCAATTCGTCTGAATATATATATACATATTTTTTATGTATGTTACCGCATAACTTTGGACCACTTTTACCGATTTCTACAGTTTTAAAAGAAAAGGTGGTACTCCGAGGTGGTCCCATACTAATTTGCTTTGGATCCAATCATAGGATCATGAAGCAATTAACAATATTCTTACATTTTTATATAATAATTGAAGTCGGTGTTGTTAAAAATTACTTCTTAATCGGGCAGGAATTCAAAGCGAGTGATTTGCAGAACCTGCCAGTATAATTTTTTTGCTGACAGCATATAAAAAAATCGCGCATACCTTGCTTGGATAAAAATGCCCAGAGCCGTCAGACATTTTTTTTTTAATTAACACATTTCTTTAGCCACTTCAAATTTGAACATTGTTATACTAAAATTGACTGGGCTATAAAACCTCATACCAGATTTCTTTATTTTTTAAATCTCAGTAAAAAGTTAAAGACTCTGATGAAAATTCGTTAAATTTTCATTAATATTGTATACAGCGTGATATTTTTATAATGGTATACAGTTTTAAACTTTGTTTTATATGGTTTTGTTTGTAGCATGAACCATATTTTTTTACAAAAATAAAAAAAGAAAGCTTGCAAAACATAATGAATGTTAAAAAAAACAAGGGTATACGCAGATTTAATGGAGCGAGTATGATTATCGTCGANACAAAAATAAAAAAAGAAAGCTTGCAAAACATAATGAATGTTAAAAAAAAACAAGGGTATACGCAGATTTAATGGAGCGAGTATGATTATCGTCGTTTAAAGTAAAAAACCGCGTATCGTCGTAACCTCGTAACTGACATTTGCTGCAAAAATTGGATTTCCTTATCCATTCGTCCTGAAATATACTGGCCAGATATGCGATTACTTTATAAAAAAGAAAACCATTTTGAAATATTAGTGTTTTTACACTCTAGAATATAATTTATACAACCTTTGAACGGTTTTGAATTTTGTTGGTACGCGGTTTTGTACTTTAAACGACGATATGTATATTAGGCATTTACACGAAGACTACACTAAAAACGAATGAATTTAGTTTATCATATATTTATGTATAATGAAGTGGAAGGTATAAGCAAGTATAGAGTTTAACCCTAGTAATAAAAAGCAACTATAATATCATTGATGTAGGTAATCCATCAAAAATGGTTTATCATCTGGAGCGAATGGCGTTAGTGGCACATCGTAGGGTAGCGGAAATGGTGGTATACCATCACGAACGTGTCCTAAAGGGAACGTTTCTTCCCCAGTCTGTGAAGTAGCATTTAATAAATAGAACCAAATTATTTTTGAATCAACATACCACGAATCTCGGCAGGAATAACACACCAGCTTCATAGTTATAAATCCTTAGACATGGCAAGATGTTGACATTTTTGTTAAATGCTCCCCATGCTGCTTTAGATAAATTTGCGGAAGTCAACATAAACCAATAAATAGATTGATTCTCCAAGTTTATACGAGTATAACTTTTTATGTGCGGCATTGCTTGCGAACGGTAGCGTTGCTTCGAGCACCATTGAAAGAGATGCCCACGCAGCCACGGTTGTTTATCATTAGTATTTGCCCCATAGGGTAAGCATCCACCACCTATCAATCCATCATGACTTCCATTTACGTTGCTAAAGCTGGGGTAAATCATTTTGAATGGTGGAAAATGACTAAGGCCTGGGGGTCCAGAATGTTTTCGCAAGCTATTGAGAAAATCTTGTTGAATCCAAGTTTGTATATTGGGACCCAGACTACCAATGCTTGAGCTTTGACATATTACTGGTACCCTTGCATCCACTGTAGTGCAATATTTTTGGAGCAATTCGCCCACACGGGCATGACCCCATGGAAAGCCACGTGCACCCTCGCGGAAACCTCCAGGTGTTGAACCGATAAAAAATACACTATAAAAAAATATCTATTGCAATCGGTATCTTGAAAGGCTACGAACAATCATGGAATCACACTTACTTTATGGAACTAAAATCTGTTTTGCGTATACGTGCTATCCACGGTTGTAACTTGGGTATTTTATATTCTACCAAGTACAACATCAGATCTTGCCGAAAATTTGTTGGACTCTCACCAGCTGTTGTGTCTACATTTTGTGCTAGTGCTGGCAACTTCGGACTTATCCAAATACCTTGTGTGCGATTATGCCAATCGTCTTCGTATAGATTCGCTGTTGAGATTACTATACGCATGCCACCATCAGTGTACCCCAAAAGCATTACTTTAGCGTGTGAGGTTGCAAATGGTGTTGGCATGTTAACTTTAACGGCTGTGACCTCCGGATGCGTTTTTGAGATGTTGATCAACTCAGGTGTTTCATCACCATAAATAACAAGGAGCGGTGTACCCCTGTAAAAAGAAAACAATCATTTACACACTTTACAGACAAATATTGTATTAGTTTAAAATCTATTAAAAACTATTTTAACCGAAAATATGTAATAGTAATGGTTGCTTTACATTACGCCAGCGAAATAATAATGTCCAAGTAGCCAGCCAATTTCTACCATAAAGTTAATTTGCACGGACGATTCTAGCTCCCCTAGGCTTTCATCAAGAATTTCTGCAATTATATTGTATAAAATAATTACATGCATACATAATTAATTTGGTATTAGACTTGTATTGTGAAGGCATACCTTGCAACGTTATTGTCAATGGCTCATGATGAGTGAGTTTGGAATCGGTAATCGCGGTGAGGAAGAAGTTATAAGGTGCAGCGCGTTCCAGTTTTTCAGCAGCGTGCCCCTTCTCTAAAACCACCGGGATGTAATCCTTAATATTTCTTGTTATTTTGGGTTTTTTGGAAAGTTTAGATTTGTCGGTGGGTGATGAGCTTGATGCGTTACTCGATAATGCATAATCAGTAGACGTACTACCTACAGGAGATTTGCTACGTTTTGCTGTATCAGGCTAGAAAGGCAAATTTATTATTAAAAAAACAAAAGGGTTGGGTTCCGAGAAGTATCTGTTAGTTCGAAGATGGTACAAAAAAAATGATGGGGGCGTGGCACCGCTTACCTTTCCAGGTTGAAGGAGCAAAGACCAAGGAATTCAATGGCATGAGTCTCTTTCTCTCTTCTCAGGCAACACAGAAAGGAGAACTAGTAATTAGTAAAGGTGATAACCTTTAATCGGAATTGTGTTCTGCCCAAAAATACTGTGGAAAGCGTAGCCGGAGTTAAACCGATGAGGGTTATTTTTGGACCGAGCAAAAAATCCTTTTTATTTTACTTTAAATTCTTGTGGCATTTTGTAAGCAAACTTAGCGGTTTTTCACGACTCATGTCATTGAATTCCTTGGTGTTTGCTCTTTCAAGATGGGAAGTTGGACGGAGCTACCCCCTTGATTTTTTTTGTATCGGCCTCCAACTAACAGATACTATTCGGAACATTTCCATAACGAAAATTGTGAACTTACTTTAACGGCTTTACCATCTAACCGACGACCTCTTATGGTATCGCCATCAATATTACTGGACGTTGGAATTTCACTGGTACCCCGACCACTGCAACTTGCCTTTGGAAAAAGTTTTTCTAGCAGCTTTAACTGAGTTTCTATTAATTCCGCGGACATAAAATATTCATCCGGTATAGCATAGTTATTCGTCGCGGGATCCAAACCCTTCGAATAAATTTTGTCCACTGAAATATAAATGAATATCGTGTGCTGAAAATAAATAAATATGTTCCCCAGTATAATTATACATACAATGAGGATGCGAGAATTCGCTGAAATGAATAGGATTCTTTCGATAACACTGGTCGCCGTAAGGACATGTTTTTAGTTTATCCGCCATTGATAATAAAATTCTAATAATTGTTAAATTTAAAGAACTTTACAAAAAACATTTAATAGTTAAAAAAAGACACAAACACAACTCGAGTTGACCGCGCAGCAATGGTGCCAACTTCCAAAGTAGCCTGGCCAAATAATTAAAAAATGCCCCTTTTGTTTATACGGTGTTTACGTGTGCGATTGAACAGGCAACTCTTTTTGAAAGCAACAATCGCCTAGTGCGAATGGCCTAAATTGCTTTCCAGATGCTTCACGATATTCATGATTTGCAGGAACAGCTGTTTTCTCCATTAATAAACCTTATGGAAAGTGGTCACCTGGAACGACTTCCTGTAAAAACCTGCAAATCGTGAAGCATCTGGAACGCATCTCTAGCAAGACTTGTTTTGTTTGCTTTTGACATGTTTTTATACACATATACGGTTTCTTATTTTGTTCGTCATATTATAACTCAAATGTAAAAAGTAGTAAAAAAATAGACCGAAGAAATACAACTGAGTCGNTGAAATGAATAGGATTCTTTCGATAACACTGGTCGCCGTAAGGACATGTTTTTAGTTTATCTGCCATTGATAATAAAATTCTAATAATTGTTAAATTTAAAGAACTTTACAAAAAACATTTAATAGTTAAAAAAAAAGACACACAAACACAACTCGAGTTGACCGCGCATCAATGGTGCCAACTTCCAAGGTAGCCTGGCCAAATAATTAAAAAATGCCCCTTTTGTTTATACGGTGTTTACGTGTGCGATTGAACAGGCAACTTTTTTTGAAAGCAACAATCGCCTAGTGCGAATGGCCTAAATTGCTTTCCAGATGCTTGACGATATTCACGATTTGCAGGAACAGCTGTTTTCTCCATTAATAAACCTTATGGAAAGTGGTCACCTGGAACGACTTCCTGCAAAAACCTGCAAATCGTGAAGCATCTGGAACGCATCTCTAGCAAGACTTGTTTTGTTTGCTTTTGACATGTTTTTATACACATATATGGTTTCTTATTTTGTTCGTCATATTATAACTCATATGTAAAAAGTAGTAAAAAAATAGACCGAAGAAATACAACTGAGCCACCGTTACTGCCGTTTGGCGTAAATTTCATATCGGCTGCATTTCTTTATTCATTCTGAACGTTTGGAATAAAATTTTTTGTTTACTTATTCTTTAAGGCCCGTCCACATAGAACTTTGACGTTGCGTTGGCGTTGGCGTCGCTTTACCAGCTGACTATGAATACATGAATTCAAATGCAGCCGTCCACATAGCCGAAATTCGACAACGCTCACGCCAACACNTTTTTTTCGTGCAACCCTGCGTTGAGTTGAACGCAATTGTTGAACGCAAAGTTGAATAACGCAAACACTGCTTTATTATTTAGAACGTTCCTGATGATATGTAAACGTATATTTCAAACGCATTCTGTTTATTCCGGCTATGAAATGGGACTATCCGGAATCTATAAAGAAACGCAGCCAAAATGTTTATTGATTACTAAATACTCGAATCGCCCTGTAGTTTGTTTCATACGTTTCTTATTTGTTCAACAACAACGCCAAATATTTTACTGTCAGTAGAGAGTGCAGTTGCAGTTTATACGTATTTTTCTGGAATTTGTTATTGCAATCAACAAATGAAGAAGGGATTGTGAAATTATATAGAGTAAGCGAAACGAATCAAATTAAATATTGGTATATATTAGTTGTGTTCTNCGGCTATGAAATGGGATTATCCGGAATGTATAAAGAAACGCAGCCAAAATGTTTATTGATTACTAAATACTCGAATCGCCCTGTAGTTTGTTTCATACGTTACTTATTTGTTCAACAACAACGCCGAATATTTTACTGTCAGTAGAGAGTGCAGTTGCAGTTTATACGTATTTTTCTGGAATTTATTATTGCAATCAACAAATGAAGAAGGGATTGTGAAATTATATAGAGTAAGCGATACGAATCAAATTAAATATTGGTAGTTATTTATTAGTTGTGTTCAGCAGTATAATAATTTAACTTAACACTCAAAAATATATCGAAACATGTACATATGTATGTACATAAATATACCCTTTATTACCGTCTTATTTTAGTACAAACGACAATGGAGTTTAATGATGTTCAGCTAACAATATAAGGCTTTGTGTTTTATGCGGTCATTTTGTCATTGCAGTTCCGTAAGTAGCTGTTAGACGTGGCAAGTGCAAGTCCCTTTCATAAGTCTGTAAGAGATTGCAGGAGCAGTTACACCTTGCATGAAAAGTGGCTTTCCAAAGCAATTTTCATTTCAGAAAATCAAACTATCCTATAATATTTTGTTGTTGTTGTTGCGGCTACAACAACCTCGCCCAGATCGGTTAATATCTCAGTCGTTGTCGTCAAGTTTCACTAACGGCAGCCCTAAGAAGCGTGCAGCCCCAATGGGGTGGGTCCACTGGGACAAAGGCGTTGGGGTTGTTGGGCTTTCCGGGCATACGAAGAGATGCTTCGAGTCATGAGGTATCTCTCCGCATGTCGGACACTCATGCCGCACATCTGCGTTGAGTGTGCTCTGGTATGAGTTTAACCTGCTGCAGTAGCCAGAGCGAAATTGAGCTATTGTGGTTCTTATCTCCCGAGGCAGATGAAGCTCCGTCTCGTCTATGTCCAGTGGTTGTGCGCCTAGAACGGGATTCATAGGTCTGGAGTCTACATAACTCGAGGCTGACTCCCTGTGATTGCCGTTCAGGGCCTGTCGATATGCTGACGGGTCTACTTTTTGTCTGTTTACACGGTGAATGCAGCCCAGCCCACTCTCAACGATGTTACCAGACATTTTTATGCTTATAATAACAAAATTACTGACCTGAAATTAAAAAAAAAGAAAAACGCTCAAATGGGCATAAAACAACCACAAAGTGTCTAATGCTTTAATATTTATATTGTTCATGTCAGGAGAATACAATAATTACAAGTATTTTTTTTAATGTGCTGCAACATTTTTATAATCTTATAGAAATTCAGCAAAAATCGCGTCACACGGCAACACTCAATTGGTTTGCTAGTGCAGCACGAGCTTGTTGAAATTGTTTCTCGAAAGCGATTTGCGTTATTTCAGTTGCAATTAAACCTTGCAATTTTTATTTCCGAAAGTGATCTCTGCAAATCTGCAAAAAGCACTTTCTGGCTGTTTACACCGGAAAGTAGACTTTCGATTTCGCATTTTGACAGCAAAACGCGTAGAAAAAGCGCTTGTATTGCGTTTAACCGCACCTTTATAATTTGAGTAGGTACTTTACATTCATTTAAATCTTCTGATTCGAGGTTTTTTCGTGCCCACACAGTGGTTTTGGATTATCAAGAATACGCAGAAATGTACATACACATTCATATATGTATGTATTATTTGTTAATGCCGATAAGTGCATACATATGTACATATATGTATAAGAGTAAGGTGGTCGGGGGGTTGGCGGGGTAGGCTAGCGAGTTTAGCATTCATTTGCAATTTGTCACTAATTTCTGTTTTTTATTCCAGCAGTATTGGTATCATTAAAAAAACTGAAATTAGAAAAGCATAATAAGGAAGTTATCAAAAAATTAGCAAAAGCAGCTAATTCAAGCTGACAACTAACAAAAAGTCGAACAGCCGATGTTTCCAAGTGCTTCTTGGCGTGGCTAAGGTTACGTTAGATTTGGAACTATTTGCCCTCAACATTTATACGAGCACCAACAATATAAAAAATGCCAATTTTATATAGTGTAATATCCCGAGGTAGCACAGTGCTGGCCAAATATGCAGAGTGTGTGGGCAATTTTGCGGAAGTCACGGAGCAGATAATTTCAAAGATAGCGGTGGAGAATCACAAGTTAACTTATTCACATGGTGAATACCTAATACATTACATATGTGAGAACCGCATCATCTATATGTGCATTACAGACAACGTAAGTACCAATGACTATATCATAGATTCCTACATACTTGTCTATATATGAATAAATAGATCCAAAATAAATCCAATAATATAAAAATGTAATTGTACACCCTTATAGGAATTTGATCGCACGCGCGCCTTCCTTTTTCTTGCGGATATCAAACAAAAATTCATACAAACATATGGACTACAAGTAGCAACAGCTATTGCTTATGCAATGAATACGGAATTCTCAAAAGTTCTAGCGGAACAGATGGCACATTTTAGTCAATCGCGTGAGGTGGATATGATTTCAAGAGTTCATGGTCAAATTGACGAGTTGAAAGACATTATGGTAAAAAATATTGGTATGTTTACGATGCTAACAGTGTGCTCATTATGCGGTCGCCTTATGTTCGTTTTCTTGTATTATGAAGAAAAAACTATTTTAATAGTAGTATGTATAAAGCCTTACAAAATTAGATTTTAACATTTAAAACATTATTTTATGTCCGTTAAATTAACTATGACTTAAAACATGTTTTATCCTTAAATTGGTGTACTAAGTTCAAAATGAGGTAAAGGGGATTTTATATACATGCATGCATATGTCCATATTTAATTAAAGGTACGTTCTAATTTCATGATTTGCTACCTGAATTTTTAGCAAATTAATATTGAGCTTATCTTGAAAAAAAAAATACATATACATATATATACTTCGAGGATGATGATGCAATCGCAACAGAAAGAAAATGTATATGAGTCTTTTCAAATAGAGTATTTTTCTAGTATAAATTCTGATTTTTTATTTCCCAAAGAAATGTTTATACAGCAAATATACACGTTTTAGTATTACGCAGATTTTGCAGCTTTTTTTCAGTTCGTGTGTAAATAAAAGTCAGCTGGCACACGGTGAACCTGATAAAATAGTCGTATTTCTAAATAGCGCATAGTTAATCTGTGTCATTTCATACAAATGACTTTAGTGTCATTATACAAAAAAATCATGATCCAAATTCTATTTATAATCTGGTCTAAACTTAAGTTCCGTTATAATTAGACGTTTTAACTTGAAACTATGACTACTGGTCAATGAGCTTCTATTTACTACCGTATTTTACCCCGTTTTACAGAAGGATGATCCTAGAGTTAAGACATAATTTGAACTAGCCAAGGACCGTAACTTTTACATTAACATTTTGAAGTTGTTCGACAGGATTTAATGAAATTTGGATTAACATAGTATTTCTGATTTTTAATTTTATTTTTTTTTACAGAAAATGTCTAAAATTTATGTAAAGAGTTTTTATAGCCCAAACGAACTTGTATATTGAGCCGTATGCATAAAAACTGAGCAATTGCTTTTTCTTGAAATCGCATACCATTCACTTAAATTTGTTTGAACAAATTGGGCAAAAGGTCTGAAGTTTTATAGGCGACATACATATACAGTGCGTCTGACTCGCGAGTCATTTGTGTACGTGTTGACTCCCCTTCGACTACATACAATTGAATCATTCAGAGTCATGCCAGGAGTTATGTCGGTGTAACAAACACATATTTATTTTCACAGACACATCCAAACCGACTCAAGAGCCAGACGCATGGTGTATGTCGCCTATTAAGGTATTATTCAGCACTTGTGAAATAATAGTACATACTTGCTTCGTTTTATAATGTTGTATTTTTTCAGTCACTAATGTATTTTTTTCNTTTTAATTTTATTTTTTTTTACAGAAAATGTCTAAAATTTATGTAAAGAGTTTTTATAGCCCAAACGAACTTGTATATTGAGCCGTATGCATAAAAACTAAGCAATTGCTTTTTCTTGAAATCGCATACCATTCACTTAAATTTGTTTGAACAAATTGGGCAAAAGGTCTGAAGTTTTATAGGCGACATACACTGTGCGTCTGACTCGCGAGTCATTTACGTGCGTACGTGTTGACTCCCCTTCGACTACATACAATTGAATCATTCAGAGTCATGCCAGGAGTCATGTCGGTGTAACAAACACATATTTATATTCACAGACACATCCAAACTGACTCACTATTCAGCACTTGTGAAATAATAGTACATACTTGCTTCGCTGTATAATGTTGTATTTTTTCAGTCACTAATGTATTTTTTTTTCTTTGTAATTATAGACAGTCTTCGGGATCGCGGCGAAAGGCTGGAATTGCTTGTAAATAAAACGGAAAACCTTAGTAATAACGTAAGTAACACGAGCAAAGTCTACATTATATGGCTTCTTCATCAAGTTTATTTGGCATTTCCATTTCTAGTCTGTTGCATTCCGCAAAGCTTCTCGAAACTTGGCACGACAAATGTTCTGGAAAAAGGTGCGCATCTACGTCGTAGTAGTGCTCATAATAATATTTGTTGTTTATGTGATTATAAGTATGTTCTGTGGTGGTCTTGCATGGCAGGGTTGTGTTGCGAATTAGAAAAAAATATATATACTTGATAAGGTTTTACCCAAAATCTTTATCTCTTCGTACATTTGAATCTTTCTTGTCTACGACTCGTATTTTTATTCAATATATGTAGTTTGTATTTAAGACATTTTATTTTTAATCTTCATTTATGTATGTATATGACACGAATATTTATAAAGTATATGCATTCGAAAATATTATTTTCCCGATGAATGGAAGAGAGCGCATAGCGTTCTAGACGGGTCTTTACAATGGTGAAATGCATGTAAAGAAATAAATAAAATTCATCGCTTTATTTATTCAAATAATATACATATATGTATGTATCTATATTTTTTACATCACACACTGTATACGAGTATGTGCACACAAAAAACATGTATTTAATAAAATAAACATGTACGAATTATAAAAAAAGAAGTATGCTGTTGTTTGCGCCTAAAATTATTACATTCGTTATAAAAATTTAATCAAAAGCAAATAGCATAAAATGTATTCATAAATATAAAAATATATGCTAAATAATATATGTATGTATATATAAAAGACAATAATAAGTTATCTATTTTTTAATGCCGATATAAATGACATCGCCTCGCTTGACTTTCCCCGGCTCACGCAAACCCAAATGAATTCCAAGAACAGGGCTTGGGTTCTTTTCAAAGCAACGATACCTACGTATAAACGGAAGAATAAGTGGGTTCAATGAATATCAATTAATTGAATACAGCATATAAAATTACGTTTTTAGAGTTTTCAATGGATTATTATCAGGATCGCGCTCTCCGGTTTCTGGGTTGATGTTGGGTAAAATACATCGTCGGCATGGCGCTACTTTACGGAACACTGCCTGCTGGCCAATTTTTATCCAATCATATGAATCCTCAGCATAGGGTTCGTTCTTATCCATTTTTAAATAGAAACCGCCTCGAAACTGAATTGGCTGTACTGGACGCGGGAGTCGTTTATTGAGATCTTCAATTGATGATAAATTCATCAGCATATAGCTAGTAGCATCAGCGAAGGCACCCTGAAATTGATATTTAACTTATTAGACATATTTGTGTATGCTTTCACACATTTTTAATATACATACATACATACAATATGTAGTATGTATATTTGAGTGGTCCAAATTTTGCATGGGGAAAAAATGTCATCGTAGAAATCGGGGCACCCCCTTAGTTTCTTCCTTTTGGTATTTGTAATATCTATACCGAATTTCAATTTTCTACTGTGGCCAATACATGGTGCTCAGTGCCCTTGAAATGCGCTACTGAATCCCTTTGAGAGTGACCAAAATATTGTATCTTCATAGAATGGGCAGGGTATACTCATCGTTCTGTCATTACTGTGGAAAAGTCAAAGATAACGTACATCATACATTCTTCACTTGCCAGCACTTCTTGACTTCGCGCAGAATGCTGGAAGAAAGACATGGAGACAAACCTGGGGTAATGATCTCCAGTGCAGACAAGTGGGAACCAGTTACGAGATACGTGAAATTCTTACTCCGCTGCAAATGAGAAGACGGATGTCTACTGAGGACACCCGAATGAAACGCTCCTACAATGGAGCAGCCTTGAGGCTCTAGTAGCGCACATCTGAAGACTTGCATAATAGCGGTGCCAGATGCGGGATTCTTGCGCGGGCGGTGGGTGTTTGGGTTTTAGTGGGTAGCCCAACATGCTTCGGTGGAAGTCCCACACTCGCGGAAGGTAGAGATTAGCGACCCCGGCCAGTGCATAAAGCATTTCCCCCCCCTACGAAAAAAAAAAAAAATAGATTGGCGCTTACACATATGAGTAGTCCACTTGCAAAGTGCTCTATNCATCTGAAGACATGCGTAATAGCGGTGCCAGATGCGGGATTCTTGCGCGGGCGGTGGGAGTTTGGGTTTTAGTGGGTAGCCCAATATGCTTCGTTGGGAGTCCCACACTCGCGGAAGGTAGAGATTAGCGACCCTGGCCAGTGCATAAAGCATTTCCCTCTCCTACGAAAAAAAAAAAAAAATAGATTGGCGCTTACACATATGAGTAGTCCACTTGCAAAGTGCTCTATGTAAAATTTTTTCGATTTTTAGTAGTTGCGGTGCCTAGTAGAAGAAGTCGTAAAAAAGAAGTAGACCAATCGTCATGGAAGAGAGAATGCGAAAAGCTAAAAAAGCTAGCTATGTAAAACTTACGAACGAAGGGACTTTTGGCGCCTCTGTCGGAAAATTCAGCTTCCATGAGGAATCGTCCGATAAAGGGCTGAGGCTGATCCGACTTCGAAGTGGCCCGAAGCCTGGCGGTATGTAGTACTGGGTTCTAGTATAAAAATATTCATTAAGCTACATGGGTGTCTCCAGATCGAAAAACTGCAAACCAAATCGAGTATGTTGTTATAGACGGAAGGCACACTTCCAGTATTTTAGATGTACATACGTACACTCCGAGGGCCAAACATCGGTTCGTACGGATTCAGCCAATATACGCACCCGCCTCGGTGCAGCAAAAAATGTGCGCCCGACAATGCAAGGAAAGTTCATCGTCGAAAAGCTGCAATCAAAACAGACGGCCAATTGATTCGCCACTCGACTCTCACACCTGCTGTGAGAGAGCACTTTTCAACAAAGCGACATACGCGGGCTGTGGAACCACATTTTCCGCTCATTACTGGTACGATAAGGAGTGTCAAGAAGCTGCAGCTGCCTACAGGACCCCGCTGCGATGGGGCGCAACGCGAGCCATGTTATAGGGAAATGAAGAGGGAACCTAGACGTATTTGCCGCAATAAGAAGGGGGGGGAGGGTCTAATACGTGATTGCGAAGAGCTTGAAATGCTGGCCGACAAAAAAAAAACACCCGAAATTATTAGCAGAGAGTTGAACGACTTACGGAAGGTTTCAAGACTCGTGTAGGAACGACCATGGCGACCTAGTGACCGACGTCCAGAACGTACTCAAATTATGGAGGGAACACTTTTTGACCCTTTTGAATGGCAGCAGCACTAAAAGAAGTGGAGAAGACGAACCCGAGCCCCCAGTCGATAACGTTGGAATCGATATCCCAGCGCGATTATGCTGATGAAAAGTAACAAAGCTGCTGGAGCTGATGGCCTGTCAGCAGAGCTATTCTAGTTATTACGATGGCAAGGAGCTAATAAGGTGCATGCCCGACAACTGGATCTCAAGTGCGCTCTGCCCAATCCACAAGAAAGGCGACCCCGCCATGCGTGTTGTGTAAAATACTGAAGCCCACCGTCAACGAACTGATTGAGCCTTACCAGTGTGGCTTTAGGCCTGGCAAATCCACCGACGACATCGACATTATTGTTTCAAATAAGGGTTACATCTGTTCTGTCTTAGATGGAGAAACAAAGCATGTGGGTCTGGTGGTGAACGAGGACAAAACGAAGTATCTCCTAACATCACACAAACAGTCAGCGCATTTGCGCCTTGGCACCCACGTCCTTGTTGACAGTTATAATTTCGAGAAAGTGGAGAATATCCTTTACTTGGGAGCCAGCATTAACACCGATTATAATGTCAGCAGCGAAATTCAATGCAGAATCACTCTTGCCAACAAGTGCTACTTCGGACTGAGTAGACAATTGAGAAGTAAAGTCCTCTAGCCTTACAAAAATCGTATTCTATAATTCACTGATAATGCCTGTGCTGGTTTATGGCGCGGACGTAAGGACAATGAAAATATCTGATGAGGCGGCTCTTGGAAAGAAAATATATGCGAAAGATTTATGGGCCTCTACGCATTGGCGATAGAAAGTACCGCAGACAATGGAACGTGAGCTGTATGAGTTTTACAATGACATGGACATAATAATAATAATCCTAACGGGTTTTACAATTTACCGACCAAATTTTTCATCCGGTTCACGTCCCTGGTAAGAAGTGCGCGCTACCACTCCGCTGCGCCAGGGTTCAAGCCCTGGTCAAAGCAACATCGCAAAATAAAATTTAGAAAAAAAAAGGTTTTTTCTTAACAGCGGTCGCCCCTCGACAGTCAATGGCATACTTCCGAGCGTATTTCTGCCATGCAAAACAGCTTCTCATAAAAATACAATCACCGTTCGGAGTCAGCGTAAAGCTGTAGGTCCCTCCCATTTGTAAGACAACATCAAGGCGCACACCACAAATCGGAGGAGAAGCTCTGCCAAAACACTAATATATCGGCGTTTAAAGTACAAAACCACGTATCAACAAATGGCAAAACCGCGTATGTACTTTTGCATAAATTATTTTTTAGGTTGCAACCTGGCACATACATACATATTAGGGATGTTGCGAATGTGGAATTTTAGACACCCGCGGATCGAATGCGGACGCGGATGTTTAAAAGCTTGCGGATGTCATGTATTTTTAAGAAATAATTTAAGTGGGTAAATTAGGTGATTTAGGTAAATAAAAAATGGAAAGGTTAATAATTTTTAATAATCTGGTATATCCTGAGTTTTTCCCGAAAAAAATCACCCGTAAATTTGTATTCCGCCCATAGTAAATATGTACATGAAAACCAAAAGTGAAAAGTGAACCGGTTCGGGGAAAATTAAACTCATGATAAGACTGAATGTTTTTTAGTACTTGAATTTAAAAATTGGAACATTGTACTTAATAAAAAATTTGCATAATATTCTAGGGACCGAAAATAACAGTTAGTTTTTACGAGTTAAATTTGGCCTAATATTTTTTTTATTCCGAAATAAACGTCTTTTCCGGATAATAAACAAACCGCTTATCCAAATATAAACAAATTTGGTATCATATGAAAGAGGACTGAAATAGATTTTAAACAGAAAAAACGAACGGAGATTACCACCTCGACTTATAATTTTTTTCGTTCCATTTCAATATTCGGATTCGCAAATGAACCGCATTGATTTTTGCGAATGCGAATGTTAAAATACGCGGTTTTGCAGAATAATGACGATACGCGGTTTTGTATTTTAAAAGACGATATATATGTGTATATGCATATCGATGGTCCTCTCTAATAAAGACACAATTCAAAATTCAAAAAATAAAAACCGTTACTACTTTTAAGTGACTCATGCTTTTAACCCTTGTCTAATCCATGTCCAATGCTTGCCAAAGTAAGTAGTAAGGATTAGATATGAATTAGAAAAGGATTTGAGACATGAGCCACTTAACAACAGTAAGGTGTTTTTTTTTTTTAATTTTGAATTGTGTCGTTATTGCAGAGGACCATCGATATATGCATTTTTGTTTGTACAAACGTTTAATAACAGTGCGCTCATACTATAATAATTGTCACATACCGTATCATATTTTTTTATATGTGGTTCCTTGGCTAAATCTTTGTCAATTGGCTTCGTTGGTTTCGGATAGGGATAGTACACCAGCTTCACTCCGTTTTCCTGACTCAAAATGTATTGCGAGAACCATCTGTCATATTTTTCACCGCACAACATCGCATCCAATGGAGCACCAAATACCGATGTGTGTATATCGATGCCCGGCGCTTCATTAATCAGCTTACTAAAATCTAATTCCAGTGTTTCCATGCCGGGTGCATTGATTTCTAGCTTTGTTGGTGTTACCAGTTTCGAAGCAATCAAAACCATCTTAGGGTAGCCACGAGCTGTTAACATTAAATTGTTACTATCGACCAGCATCAGCGCACGATCGCGAACGCCCTCGTAACGTAGGCCCAGCACTTCACATTCCAGTTCAGTGTCTTCTGGCATTTTGAGTGGTGCTCCTGATTTCAATGGGAAGAATTCGAGCATTTCTAAGATGCCCACACGCTGCCATTCTTCTGGCATGACATCTTGCTTCCAGTATTTGTAGTATAAATAAGAAGCACTCGATACGGCAGTCACTCCAATGCCAACGCCAAAGCTGACCAGCATTTTGGTGGAAATTCCACTGGTTGAATCTAAGACGAGAAAATGTGCAATTAAATGGAAAAGCAACCTATGGGATTTAACGCAGTTTTATTTACTCGACATTTCGCACTAGTAATCCGTTGTTGGACTTTCTTATCAGTTGACGATTTGTTAAAGCTAATTTTTTTATAGGTAGTACATTTGCGAAACACTTCGTCCCTATCTTGATTCCACTGTTCGCAATGAGCGACTGAGAGTAGTCGTGTACTTGCCTTATGTATGCTTTGTTAGGCTACAAATACATATGTATGTATATCTATAAGCATCCAAATGTGTACATAAATAGATACCGTTGTATTTGCATAGAGGTGAAAAGGAGCCAATTCCATTTTTTGTAATTATTCAGGAGATACTAAAAATCGATGTAGTTACGCATTATCTGTCATTCTGCATCTAAAAGTAAATTTTGAAAAAAATGTGGACTTGGCATCTTCTCACATTTAGGTAGCGATATATGCATTCATACACAGCTACATATATAAATACATATATATGAAAGAAAATTTTGAAAAAAATGTCGCTTACGTTATTTTGGCGGTTAGGGCTCGATATTATGTACATATGTTAGGGATATATATCGAGCCTTAACCGCCAAAATAACGTAAACGACATTTTTTTCAAAATTTTATTTTTGATGCAGAAATATTCCTAGAGCCTCTAGATGCATTTCTGCATCAAAAATAAAATTTCGAAAAAAATGTCGCTTACGTTATTTTGGTGGTTAGGGCTCGATATGTATGATCTGTAAAAATTTGTATATCAAAAACAAAAATTTTTAACTAATACGCTTTTGCAAAACATGAGCGATCTGTATGTATGTAAATGTATGTCAACTTTTGTTGTTTTTTTAGAACGAATTAGTGGGCGGAACTACACGGGAGAGCAACGTGGACTTTAGATGCTCATGCGCCGTTGCTGATGCATTTTTGTATTTATCGCTCGTTTAAGATTGTGTCGACCTTCTATTGAATTTGGTATTCAACAGTTACTTGGCTTTATGAGAAAGCGCGAATGTCTGCTAATATTAAGTGTCTCATGCCCCTAATCCATGTCTAATCCTTACTATTTACTTTAGTAATCCTTACTACTTACTTTAATAAGAATTAGATATAGATTAAAGATAAGAAACACTTAACAGTGGTAAGGCTTGTTTTTGGGAATTTTGAGTTGAGTCGTTATTGCAGATAACCATCGATATGTACACATAAGATCGCTATAGATTATTTTATATAAATATTAGCCGGCCTCGTATGAGCGAGGCTTCGGCACGCGCTGAATGTGTAGATATTAAATAAGATGCGATTGACTACTAAACAGGTTGCAACCCTACTAAAAAATAATATATAATTGCGCTTCTGGAGGCCAAGCCCTCTCGCTTGACACCTCATTTCTTGTAATCTAACCCCACATTTTTTAATTTTTCGCACAGGTTGCAACCCTCTTCAAAAAATAAAACCTTACTGCAAATCGAAAGGTCAAGCCTTTCCTTTGACACCTCATTTTTTTTTAAATTGAATGAACTGTGCAAACCTAATCTCATTAACAAAAAGTATTATACATACATAATTTTCAAATAAGTGGCAACCACACTCAAAAAGAAAATATAAACTTATTGCACTTGGTACCTCAGTATGCAGTCTAACAAACGGTGAAGATCTATAATTTTTAAAAAGTGGCAAACCTACTAAAAAAGTAATACATTATTGAACATCTAAAAGCTAAGTCCTTCTAGTTGAGACCTCATTTCTTGTAATCCAACGAATAGTGCGGATCTAATAAGTTTTTAGACAGGTGACAATCCTATAGGAATTGAAAGTAATAAAGATAATATTCCTATCGATACAGGTTATACTTCAAAAATCTCGTATAAATCCGTTCAGTAGTTTTTGAGATTAGCGTGGTCAAAATATCTCGACTTTCCTTTATACTATATATAGAAGATAGTAATTTTTAAATAGGTGGCAACCCTACTCAAAAAACGAAAGCTTTTGTATATGCGAAGGCCAGCCCCTTTCATCTGGTATGTCATTTTGTAATCCAACGAACGGCAAAAATCTTTTAAGTTTTTAATAGGTGGCAACTCTACTCAGAAAAATAATACATTATTGCACATGTAGAGGCTAAGTCTTTTCGTTTCACAGTGATGGCGCAGAACTGATGCCTACGCTTATTATGATTGAATATAGTAATTTCATTACTAGGTGGCAACCCTATTAAAAAACATTAGTGCTTTTCTAGAGACCAATCCCTTTCATTTGACACCCCATTTTTGGTAATCCAACGAACGGTGCGTATCTTATATAGGTGGCAGCCCTATTAAAATTCTAAGTAAAAAAGGTCACTGACCTGTCGATACAGAGTATATTAGAGAAAATCTCGTCAAAATCCGTTCAGTAGCTTTCAAGACTACCGCGTACGAAGAATCTCGACTTTCCTTTATACTATGCATAGAAGAAGATAGACTCATTCCTTATTTTATTATTATTTATGGCGTGCGCATTAATCTTGTCACACAAGGGGCGGGACCTACAGTTTTACGCCGACTCCGAACGGCGCTTGCATTTTTATGAGAAGCTGTTTTCATGGCAGAAATACACTCGCAGGTTTGCCATTGCCTGCCGAGGAGCGACCGCTATTAGAAAAAAAAACTTTTTTTATGTTGGGTTGAACCGGGCTTGAACCCAAGTCCTGCGGAATGTTAGCACGCACTGCTAACCGCTACACTACAGCGGCCGTCTATGATTCCACCAAATTAAAGGATCTTCTTGCCTGGGTATATGGGGTAGCTGTAAATGTTTCTCAATTTCTCACAAAATATTGCAACAATGGAGCCTTACGGGCAATCACGCATTTTTTCTTAGCGGCGTTCATTGTTGTTTATTTATCTTTGGCGTTTCTCCTTTATTCACCAAATATAATCAATAAATCGTTATCTTTTCAATACGGGATTATATCATAACTTGGAGCCGAAATATTGTATTCTTAATTACATAAAGAATTACGAAAGATTTACGGACCTTTACGCGTTGGTGATGCCGAATATCGCAAACGATTTCACGATGAGCTGTACGAGCTTTACAACGATATGGACATAGTGCAGCGAATTAAAATTCGGCGGCTCCGCTGGCTTGGCCACATCGTTCGAATGGACAGAAACGCTCCTGCTCTGAAAATATTCAACGCGGGCCGCGATGCTGGTAACAGAGGAAGAGGAAGACTTGGCTTCACTTGGCATTTCCAATTGGCGTCAGTTAGCACAGAAGAGAAAAGACTGGCGTGCTGTTTTGCACTCGGCCAAAATCGCTTAGGCGGTTACAGCGCCAATAAAGAAGAAGAAGAACTACATATTGGACAGTTCAGCTAAACGAAAAAACCTAATCTAAAAATATTGTCAAATTTATTAAGGACAGCAGTCTACCGGATATCCGAATCCGGCTCTTATTTTTTACAGGATATCCGAAATTCGGTTATCCGGCAAAATTTCTATCCGGCACATCCCTAAAACTTACTTTGTATCGGACGAAAAGTATCGAGTATGTACTTGTACCTCAAACAATCGCGACTCCAGCACCACTTGTGTACATTTTATTCTAAATTACTTCTAACCGATCTCAAATTTGTACCAAATTAATTAACTCTCAGAATTTAATAATGAAAATAAAATTTGAAGGAAATATCTTCACTACATACATACGCGCAAGACGCCTTCCATATACCTCACTCGCAGCTTAAAAGCTTAATATAATATTTTAACCTAACCCCCCCTTAAAATTTTTTTTGTGCAATAATTTTACGGAGTCAATAAATATGTCTTATCAATACACATGTGTATGCATGTATAAACATATGTACATATACATATAGTACACACACACATATATGTATGCACTTAAGTGAACCATGGAAACAATGATACTCAACAGCGAAGTCAATGCTCACGCGCTCAATGAACCTTTCAAATGTACATATGTACATACATACATACATACATACAAAGTCATATGCACTCATTTTTGTTTGTTTTACTCAGTTAATTTTTCATCATCTCAGTGTAAAAATGCGTTCCGTGGAGATTAGCACTTGGCTCGGCATTAGCATTGGCGCTTTGGCGGGTGGCGTTACGCTTTGGTGGGTGTGCTGCATGCGCCTACGCAGGAGTAAACGACATCCCAACGCCGATAATTGGCAATATCTTGGTACACTAAAAGCCATCAACTTCTATCCTGTCAAAGGTGGTGCTCCCATACGTCTGGAAAAAGTAGAATGCTCTGAGTTCGGGGTGCATTCGAACGATTTGTGGGAGCGTTGCTTGGTTGCCTACGAAGAGTCTGGTGGGGTGGTGTACGCTGGTTCCTATCCGCGTATGCTGAGCATACGTTCGGTGATCGTGAGAGACAAGGTACTGCGACTGGAGGCACCGAATATGCCGCCGTTAATTGTGGACTTGAATGAGTTGTTGCGAGGGCCGTTAAAAGCGCCTGAGAAATGTAAAAATGCTTTTGGCAAGCGTTTAGTTGAATGTCAGGCCGAACACCATGAGTGGTTCTCGCGTGTCGTAGTGCAGCGTGAGAACGGATTGCGTTTGTATGTAAAATTGTTACCTCAAAAGGGAGAAGCGGGGGTGAGAGTATAACATAATGGCAATAACTAAATAAATAAATAAATAATTCAGACTGAAAGTGACGAAGCTTTTACAAAACAATTTATATACATATGTACATATAACTATTTTAGGCGATTTTTCCAGTTATGGTAATACATGAAAGTTCGTTACATGACCTTAATGAGCGTCTCAGTGGCCAAAATAAACGTGTCGACTGTCAACAGTTTCGCGGAAATCTGGTAGTCGATAGCAATCCAAATGTACCACCTTATGATGAGGACCGTTGATTGTGGCTGAGATTCGGTAATGACGTAGAACGCTCGACGATCATCAGGTATAATTCCGATTGTTTGCGATGTATTGTAGTCAATATAAATGTGGAGGATTATACGCGGGATACCAATTTTGAACCGCTTAAAACGTTAAAGAAGTAAGTTCTAAGAAAAAAAAAAGCAAGTGCCTTCGAAAATAAAACTTATGAAAGAAATTATTTTTCAGATATCGCCTCCTCCAAAATCCAAAAGAACCATCTATGGGTGTTTATTTTGATGTGTATAAATGTGGCATGCTAAATATTGGTGATCCCATTTATGTTCAATATAGGTAGATACAAAAAAAGCGCAAATTAATACATACAATTACATATATATGGGTACGGCCACTCCAAGCTTCTGCTCGATGGCCTTCGCATTGCACTTAGTCTAGATTATTAACAAAAAAAACAAAATAATATTAAATTTTAAGGAATCTAAATATTTACATATGCATATGCCGTAACATCTAAATAATTTTATTCAAAATTAGTTAAAACAACTAGCCTTTTTAATTTCCCAAATTGCGATCCACGTTAAAAAACAATAATCCGTAAAGTTCAGTGGAAAAGTTCAGCAAGCCTCGGGTGAAGACTACAAACTTATAATTTAATTAACCGTTTCTATGATTTTTTTTTTAAATTGTGCAAGGCGATCATGATTTCATGGTGGACAAGGAAGATAACTGTGGTCAAACAATCGGAAAATTCAGCCTTCACGTCGAAACGATAAAATACAATAAATAATAAATAAAAAATCATTGTAGCATCTCTAGAGGAGAGACGAATGAAACGAAAAGCGCTGAGAGCTGGAGATAATGGCCGACAGAAATATTTAGAGCATGAAAATTCCTACAGAATAACGACTTACGGAAGGTACTGGCCATATTCTTTTAAGAACAAGAACGACAAACTGGTGACTGGTGCCCAGAACTTGAGGGAACATTTGCCCAACCTACCGAATGGTATCAATGACGGCAACTAAAGAGATGACCATGATCCGTATCCACCAATCAATGATTATGGAGCTGATGTTCCGTTAACAGATCATCACGAAGTTTAAGCAAATGAAATGAAAAATAACAAAGCTGCCGAAGCCAATAGTCTATCAGCGGGGCTATTTAAATACAGGTATTTAATTAGGACCTGCGACAGGAGCCACACACATCATCTACATATTTGCCGATCTTCAAGCCATCGTCGGTAGCAAATGAAATTTACAACTTCTTATCGTTTGATTTGTTAAATCGGATGTCGGATATGATTAAAAAAGCTTCATAGCTGCACTGGGTATGCCGATGAAACCGACATCATAGCCTTTAACCATCGCGTCGTTTACTTAGGCAACTATGTAGGTTAGTGTTGGTAGCTATAATTTAGAAGTCCTAGTAGATTTCGTCTACCCGAGAATCAGAATTGAAATGCAATGAAGAATCTCTCTATGGTAGACTCACGATGTTTATGCAGAAAACGATGCCTAAAAATATTTAACTCCTAACTATAATCAAAACGTATAAATTTGTATACATTTTGTTTCTAGTTATGTGGTACATATTTTTAGGCTTCGATTTGTGCATAAACCTCCGGAGTCTACCTGCTAGTGCTTCTTTGGAATGACAATGAGTAGACAAATGATCATGAAATTCCTCTCTCATTTTATAAATCTATCGCCATATCCTCCTTATCAGATGAAGACGCCTTTGGAGTTTTCGAGATATAGATTCTACAAAAGATTTTTAGGCCTTCAGACATTTGTAAATATCGAAAATAACGGAATCATGAGCTGTATTAACTTTACAATGACATATGACTATATCTAGTATTCAACTAAATTAAAATACAGCGGATCCGCGGGCTAGCCCATGTCGTATGAATGGATGCAAACGCCCTGCATTGGAAAGGTCCAGGTGTAGAAAGACTTGCAGCCTCATCATGTATCTCGAACGATAGGGGACACGAACGATTCGTCTACAGGCGAATTCGTCTCCGCTTATAATTTTGTAAGTCGAGCGATTGATTCGTGTAGACTTTACGTCGATTACGTTGTATTCGTCTAGAACAGCGTTGCTAAATGAAATATTAAGGTATTTTTGTATATTTCCTTTAGAGTTTTATTATTTTTAATTTATTTGGTACACTTTATAGAAAATGGGCATCACCGTCTAATGTTATTTACTAGTCGATCGTTTTTTCGATCTCCGTCAGCCGTGAATGCCGAAAGGGACCCCACCTGTCATATTTATATTACGAATATAGTTCGCAATCTTTTTTTTGTGCGGCTTATGAGGTCAGCCCATGTCTGAAGAAAAATAAACAAATCGTATTTTTGGTTATGTTACTGAATATTCCGGATTTTTGCTACCAAGTATAAGCTTTCCTTCTTCCATTATCCCGTCCCATCGCTTCTGAACCCTGGCTCTGTCAGAACCAAATACTGGTACTCCTCTTGCCAGATCCGGATTTTGGTCTATCTCTTCTTGAATCATAACCTCAAATTGTGTAGTTGTCTCTTTCGTCTCCTTTTCGTGTTAGAAAATTCCAAACTAGACGAAAGCAACGTAACGATCAGCTGTTTTCGTGTTGCCAGACGAAAACGAATTACAAAGTACCAAGTGACGAACGATTCGTGTGGCAGACAAGACGAACGCTCGTTTCGAGATGCATGATGAGGCTGTTGGCTTCACGTGGTGTTTTTATTCGAACCAGTTAGCAGGAAGATGTAACGCCTGCCGTTATATGTTGAACTCAGCCAAGTAAAACAATGCTTGATATGTACCAGGACCGCAAAATAGTCACTATTTTTCAATTTTAATTAACAAAACCAAAAAATACTGTCGATCGCAACCAGATATTTTTCTTTATACATTCTTTTATAATTTTTAAAGATTTATATTTTTCGAGATTAGCCAATAAAGAATAAAATAAAATTGTTAATATTTAAGTTTTATAAAGTTTCAGCGGGTTGCGTGGGTATGGCCTTTTAAAATTTATAAATAATCGTTATTTTATCGCTGAGCGAAACAAATAAAAATTTTATAATAATAATATCTCTTGAGCAAAAAAATATGACCCAGCAATAGTTATTCCTCTTGAGCGAAAAAATAAAAATCGTAAAATAATGATTAAATGCTGATTCAAATAAGTAAGTGACTAATTTCGTATGCAATGATATAAGAATGATTAAAAATGATTTAAGATAACTCTTCTTCTTTATTTTACGACTTATCTTCTACATACACAACTGCGTTCGTCTTGATGGTACCTGCAAAGCGTAAACCCAGATGAATACCAAGTGCCGGCGATTTATAGCCTTCAAACAAGCGATACCTAAATAGATGCATAAAGAAATGTTTACATACATATATCAAATGCATTTTGTGAGTATATTTTCAACTCACTTCTTCAATGTATTCAACGGTTCGCCATCGGGGTCCCGCTCTGCTGTCACCACATTTATATTCGGGAATATACAGCGAGTGCAGGGTGCCACTACACGGAAAATCACCTCGTCGCCAATCTTCACCCACTGCCAGTGATCTTCGGCATATGGCTCGTCGGTGTCCATTTTCAGGTGGAAGCTTCCACGAAACTGCAATGGATCTACCGAACGGGGTATGCGTGTGTTTAGTTCTTTAATCGAGGCCAAATTCATAAGCATGTAGCTGGTGGCGTCATTAAAAGTTCCCTTTGGGAGTAAACATGTCACAAAAAAAATAAAACCAAAAATAATTATTAAATAATAAAAATTGAGGGTTTTCAACTCACACGATCCTCCTTTAAAATGAATGGCTGACGCAACATGCGTGAATTGATCGCCTTCACGGGTTTCTCCAATGGATAGTGGGCCAGTCGCATACCACTACCCTTATTCAGTAGATAATTGGATAACCATTTGTCATATTTAGCTCCGACTGGTCGCACGTATACGGTGGTGCTCCAAACCATGGTTTTTATTTGCTCACCCTCTGCCTTCAAAGCGCCCAAATCCAACTCGATCGGCTCCATGCCAGGTGCGCTCAATTGCAATCGCTGTAATCCAACCAACTTTGTAGCAATCAATACCATGCGTGGATAAACGCGCGCGGTGATCATTTCATTTGAATCGTTGATCACCATTAGTGCGCGATCGCGGCAGCCATTAAGCATCAAGCCGAGCATATCGCACGCAAACGCTGCGCTGGCATCTAGTGTTAACGGTGCACACGACTTAATGGGGTATAAATTGATTTGGTCCAAAGTGCCAATACGACGCCATTTTTCAGGCACTGCGTTGCGTTTCTTCCATTGCAGGTAATACCAGTAGTAACCCAGGCCAGATGCGAGTGTTACACCCACACCGATGGCAACACTGTAGGTAAGTGTGCTGGATGCTCCTACATACATATGTACATAAGTGCTTATTATACATAAATATTACTAAATAGGATAGGTGTACTTACTTGACATTTGGCGATAGGTGTTGATGTTGTTTTTATTCTTTCACTTTGCTAAGTTGAACTCATTCGCAACGGCGTTTATGTGCAGACTAAATAGCATTCAGCAAAAGTCATAAGCTGTTATCAAGAGCACATATAAAATAATGAAAATTTGTGAGTACCGATGGTTGTTAAGTGGCAAAACTGGAATGCAAAGAGTGCAGAGCAAATACGCCAATTGTAAAGTTTCGCAATTGAGCAAACTTACGTACATATGTGTCGTGTAACCTACTTCTCTCCTTGCATGCCTTAAATTTAAAGATATCTGTATGTGTAGAAAAGCGCTGGATGTTATGCGTCCAAGTACACCGAATACCGGTCTTGCCGGCTACAGAAACAAAATATTAAATTCAACTTGAGAGTGGAAGCTAAGAGAGCGAAGCAACGAGCCATTGAACCACGAACACCAGCTGCCGGTTGGTAATATAAACATCTGTATGCATATCGCACGAGTTCGTGAGTGAAAAGTGCATTAACTCAAATTTTTAAATTTATCAGATAACAGAAAAAACTGTTTCTAGGCAAGTACGTTTTGTAAGTTATGTACATACAACCAATGCATGGAAATCATTAAAAATAACAAAATTCTGGTTCAAAACTAACACGACTTTGTGAGTTTCGACAATTGCGCCAGCACTCTTAATAAGGTTGGGTTGCCATGGGGATACTTATAAGACATTTATAAAAGTAAAAGTATGGTAACCACTAACCAATCCAATTGATAAAAAGGCGCTAGCCAACGCCGAAGTTATAAATACGGCTAATATCAATCTCCGACCATATGCACAAGATCCTGAACAGCCTTAATATAAGACAAGTAGGGACAGTCGACAGGTTTATATTGAAAAACTTATATCTGAACAATTAGTGGTATGGAAGATAATATGGTATATGGAAGCACCGGTGTAAATGATTTTCACAGTAGGCCTTGTATGGTCGATAAGTAAATAGGTCCATCTCTTCTTCTGCTACTTACAAATATCAGACCAAAGGTATACTACCAATTCATGTTAATGAAAGGCATAAAAACCAACAACAGTTTTCGCTAGACCCAAGTGACCCACCAAGGATAAACCCGTTTGATGTGCAGCAGATTTGAGTTGATGATGTTAATTTGCTTTAAAACACCATTTGGCAGGAGGAATATTTGATGCCATTTCTAATACATCCAATAGCAAGCAGATTAGTTGACCTACTCGGTACTACGGTATGTAAAGTGAAAAAATTTGAACGACCAAAGAGCAAAATCCTCCTCATACATAGGCTTTGCCGATCATCTTATTTCCACCTGTGAAATCTCTACCAAGCGTGCATAATCTTCTTTGCTCTTGCAACTACAACATAGGTACGATGCGTAAGCTAATAAAAGTCCTTATAAGGAAACCTAAGATCACAGGTGAGAGTTTTCTGTTATAATAGGGCCAAGAATATTCGCTTCCCAACAGGGCGAAGAGTTTTCCCGTACATCGGCTAAATGAGTGATGTGATATCTTGAATATCGTTTAAATGAAGCCTACCGTGTTCCTTCTTGGACGGATGTGGTCGAATCTTTTCTTGTCCATTCACCACTTTTACAATTCGTCTTAATATTTATGAACTGGATTCTTTGAGTCTTACTGCTGCAATAACGGCCGCCCCGATCAATTTCGTTAATCGCAGGTAAATGCAAGATCGCATTAAGGGTGTATGAGGGCGTCATACAAAGGTGCGCTTACACAATTTCATTTAGCCATCCGAAAACTAAATTCGTATAAAATAAACATATTTAGAGTCAAAGCAGATCAAACACATGGGGTTTCTATATATTACGGCTGCAGCGCCATCTTTGGGTTCCTTTTCTGCAAAACCATTGCTTATCATGAAAATAATACGCATTGTGAATTTCAGCCAGGTTGTTTAAAAATAAGAATTTTATAAATATCTCGACCATACAGCGTGCTTACAGGTGGCTTACATTGCGAATTTGAACGAAATCGGTGAATAAATAAATATAGTTGTAAATAACTCGAATCCAAAGCCACCAAGCGAGTTTTATAGTGGTTAGTCCATCGGTAATAGGACCATATGTGAAAGATATAACTTCCGACAATTTGACTGAACTCTATCCAGTACTTTTTGAGTTTAGTCCGAAGAACAAAAACAGCTACCATTTTATGTATATAGGTATGTATGTAGATGGGACAATCTCCCAGCAAACAATTAGGTTTGATATACATTTGAGAATGATTTGAAATCAAAGCCTTTCTCATATGTCAAACGTTTGAAAATGATTTGATATTGATTTGAAAATTACAGCCTTCTCAATAAAAAGGGGAGTTTGATCTCCATTTGAGAATATGATTAACTCTGAAATCAATTTCAAAGGTTATTTATCAATTATACTTCAAATGTGGAAATAAAACTTATTATAGGAAATGTATACTTCGTATCTATTTATAATAAATTCGTTTTGAAGGGCTGCAGCTTCTTCAATCCGCGCAAACATCAAATCGGCTATTTGTGGGATTCCTCTTTGACAGTTTTTTTCTATTCATTGATTCTTTTCAATTGATCTTAATTTTATTCTTACAATTTTTGATTTAACTGCGCATTTTTATATCGTTTAATACTTGACATCTTTCTTCAAATCAACCTCAAATTAATTTCAAATGTAAAATTTAAACCTCGTTTTCAATTTGAGAATCATTTGAGAAAAACATTTGATATCAAATTTAGAAATACGTTTTTCTCAAACGTTTGAGACTGTGTTTGCTGGGCTATAACGAAACTTATACAAATTCAAATTTCAAACTTAAAAAATTTTTCAAAATTTTCCCAACCAATTTTACCCTTTCCCAAAAATTAAAAAGAAAATAACAACTGCTCAATGCGATTTACATTCCTTTGGTCAGGTCCCGATTAAATTGATTTCACCTCTTATTTGAATCAGCTGCTCAGTCAAAAAGATTTTGCATTCAAAATAGAGGTAAATTGTTCAATTAATTTCCCCGCATCGGATAAAAATATTAAGAGTCTTCACACCTGCTAGTAGGTAGTTGTTAACCTGCTAGTTGGTACTCAGTAATTTCATCAACTGTGGACGTCCTTTTCAGCTTTCTTTTATTACTCTGGTAAACTATGTTTATCAACAGCTGATTCGTGGCTTTTTTCCTATAAAAAAATAAATTGTAACAGAAAATTGAAGGAATTTTACTTACTCATATTGACGGCAGCGCGCGGATTTAAAATTGGATAAATATCGAGCAGCTGATTGCAGTTTACTAACTACCAGAAAAATTGCCAAGCTTCCAACACGATAATTCGGTAAAACTATTTGCGAATAATTATATTGCAGGTACAATTTCATTCGAAGAATTTTGTATTTAAATAACAAGTTATTTGAATAATGCTCAACTCTGAATGTATGAAACAAAAAATTAAAAAGAGTGAAGATTCTCAAAGTAAAATACATTTTCGTTAAAAAAAGAAAAATATTATGTGTTATTTTAACCGAAATGACGTGAAAGAGATTAAATATTTTCAGCGCCAGGGAAACGTTGAGACGTGGCGACCGATAAAAAAAAAAATACTTGACAGATACGAGCAAAAACGGACAAAAACGAATTGTCTGTTATTTATGTTACAAGGAAAAAGGAGACGGTTGGAAAAAGACTTTTACTAAATGGTAAATTCAATTTCACAAAATACCGAAAAACATTGCTTTTATGATTTTTGCTGAGAAAACAGTTTGTTTTATAAAAAAACAAAAACAAGTTAAACAAGCATGAGGCAGCCCCGCTCCTAGCCAAAAGCTAAAACGATTAAGAAAAAAACCATGAAAAAAATATGGAGTCGGTCTATTTTATTGGAAATTGAAAACCGGCGAGAGCAAATTGCAAACACTGGACAGTAAACATGAAAATATGTGGGGTGCAAACAATAAACTTTCGCTTCCTGGCAACAAACAGCGGCACTAGCGGCATAGCGACAAAACGACAAACAACCAACCAGCTGCATTGATGATGGTCTGCTGCATATCCGTGAAATGAATTGATGAGCGCCGATGCGCCGGATATTACCGCACAATACAAATCGACTCAAGCGTATGGATGAGGATGGTGCAGAAAGGAGCTAGAAAATAAGGCGCAGGGGTAAATGCCGCCAGCCAGCATGGAGGTGTGTGTCTTCGACTGACAGCAGATTGTGTTGAAATGATGGTCACGTAATCAAACGAACATTGTGTACTTACTTACATATATGCTTTTTTGCACCAACATACATCCAAACTCTCCGTCGCCCACACTGATTGTATGTACATATGTATGTATATGCATCACGCTGCTGGCTGTTTCCACGCAGGGGCTCGCTTTCGCCACAATCCCTTATCCACTACGGTTTGTGTGGGTAGAACAACTTCATGCTATTTCCGTTTCATATTAAAGTGACATTAAAATTTGCTTCCACAGCATCTGCTGCCTACGAAAACAACAATAACAAAAAGCAAAAATACGAACAATATGTGCTGCTGATGCCAGCAATGCACCGATTGCGGTTACAATGCGAAACGGAAATGCGTCTGACTGACCGGAAAAGTGTTCATATCTGCATTGAGTTGATGGACTGCTGGTTGCTGGCAATCAACCGAAGACTTATGTATGTACACACATGTGTGTGTGAATGTGGATTGCGAACCTTGTTAGTGCATCGTGTTCATGTCAACGAGATAACAACCAACATTCTATCGGCAGCAATATGTATGTATGTATAGATGCTGTTGATGGCATTGGCGATTATGTTTGTGTTGGAGTTGATAATGATGGCCCGGCCCTTTTGGTTGCAGTTGTAGTTCTGTTGTTGCTGTTGCTTTTGTCATTATAGCCATAGTTGCGCTTTTATGCCGCATCAGCTGGCGTTTCTAACATTGAAAAGTGACAAATGCAGTGGATAAACCTATGTCGCAACCCAAGTACCCGGAATGTGTGTACCACATGTCGTATGAGTAATTTTCAATTTAGTCAGTTGCATTCTAATGGTATGAAAGAAAATCTAGCACATTACGGTAGAAGGTGTGGCCGTTAGGTTTAATTAAAAATCGTTTTTAAATTGTTGACTTAGTAAAA